GTGACAGGATGGAGCCTTATATAGCGCCAAGAGGTGAGACGTAGGTCACTAGATGAGGTAAGAACTCAGATGTTGGGAGGTCAGGTCCCTCTTAAATCCAGCCGTTCTCACTAGTAGAGGTTATCAAAGTTGATTGTAGCTCTGTACCAAGATACCCTTGTGTTGCAGTGTCTGACAGATTGAACATTAAAATGGTATAAAATACCGACAGGTTGTCAGGTAAGACACATATGCAACAGTTAGGTATCTTTATTTCGAAACGTTTCGCCTACACAGTAGGCTTCTTCAGTCGAGTACAGAAAAGTTGATAGAAGCAGAAGATACTTGAAGACGATGTAATCAGTCCATCACCCTTAAAGTTTTGAGGTGGTCAGTCCCTCAGTCCCTCGGGTATACACACATACAGTGTTTGTGTAGAGAACCCAGGATGACCCAAAAAAAGTCAGCCAGTGATCTATTTCCATTGGCGTCCTTCATAATATATAAACCCTTGTGGTTTAGCGCTTCGTTTTGATTATAATAATAATTGATAGTGTATATAATATTAAAGATTAAATCTTGTTTCTGTTATTGAGCAATTTACATATTATTACTCCCTGTTTACTTTATTCACTAAAACATTTAATTAGGTTCCGAAATTATTTGGCTTAGGTAGCCTCATTTGATTTGCTTTAACTTCAGGTCAAAGAACTGATTATTATTATAATCAAGGGGGAAGCACTAAACCCGCAGGATTATACAGCGCCTGTGGGGGTGAATGGAAGGTATTCAGGCTTAATTCAGGGAATTGGAGCACAGATCCCGTTCCCTTGATCAAGAGCCCCTCACCAGCATCAAGGAACCTTTCTTGAGGAACCAAAGCTATGTGAGTGTAATTCTGTCACCCTTTACTATATTTTACATTACTCTCTGAGCCTCTGACACTATAGAAAACGTGAGTATTATTGCGGTAACTATACAAGAAAACTCCCTTCGCATGCCAAGATATCTACTGCGTGATTTCGTTTCTCTTAAAAAAATTGCTCCCAGGTAATATATTTGGCCACGTTTTTCTCGACATCTCGGAAGTTATTAATTTATACATTGATAATCCTACATTAATCATGAGAGGACTGAAAATATCTTCATAAATGTGCACTTTCGGGGTTGTGTACACATAAACCATACCACGGGCGGGGTTAGAACCCGCGATTAGTCATAAAAGTCCACAGTCGTGTTTATGCTAACATTCCTATGGTGTACAAATATATCTAGTTGGACGAATCTTGTTGTAGCCAGCTGGCCCAGTGGCTAACGCGTCGGTCTGGAGTTTTATGACTGACCGCGAGTTCTAATTCCACTCGTGGTATGGCCCGGTGGCCTGGTGGCTAAAGCTCCCGCTTCACACACGGAGGGCCCGGGTTCGATTCCCGGCGGGTGGAAAAATTTCGACATATTTCCTTACACCTGTTGTCCTGTTCACCTAGCAGCAAATAGGTACCTGGGTGTTAGTCGACTGGTGTGGGTCGCATCCTGGGGGACAAGATTAAGGACCCCAATGGAAATAAGTTAGACAGTCCTCGATGACGCACTGACTTTCTTGGGTTATCCTGGGTGGCTAACCCTCCGGGGTTAAAATTCCGAACGAAATCTTATCTTATCTTATCTTATCTGTTTGCAATCGTGATATTACTGTCTCGTGAATCATAGTGTACACATCTGTACATTCTCTGTAAAGCCGGGAATAAAACAGTTCGAAACATTATGTAAGAAGATCAATAGACATAAATTTTCGGTTTATTATTACGTATTTCGCATCTTTAATGTCCAGAATAAACACACAAGTTCAAGGCCTCCAAGCAAGTTTCAGACGTCCATACATACGAAGAAGTTCCAGACGAACAGACAAATTAGAAGGTATATGAAATACAGAAGTAGTTTCTATATTATATACTTGGCTTAGCGCTTCTTTTTGATTATAATAATGATATATTATATACTAAGCTAATTTTTTTTTAAAGCAGAGTGTGACTGAGGGATTCCCATAATATTGTTTCTTAACTGGGATACAATACTGAGGAAAAAAACAGAGAATTGTACATCAGTTTGATCTCAGATGCTGTTTAAACTCTCAACTTTCAAAAACTGTCAGATTATCCTGCTGTTGGTTATACTGGTGAGGGTGAAGATAGTGAGGGTGAAAGCTGGGGGTGATGGTAAGGGTAAGACTGGGTGATAGCAAGACTGTGGGTGAGAGCAAAAGTGTGGGTGATAGTAAGACTGTGGGTGAGAGCAAGAGTGTGGGTGATAGTAAGACTGTGGGTGAGACCAAAAGTGTGGGTGATAGTAAGACTGTGGGTGAGAGCAAAAGTGTGGGTGATTGTAAGACTGTGGGTGAGAGCAAAAGTGTGGGTGATTGTAAGACTGTGGGTGAGAGCAAAAGTGTGGGTGATTGTAAGACTGTGGGTGAGAGCAAAAGTGTGGGTGATAGTAAGACTGTGGGTGAGAGCAAGAGTGTGGGTGATAGTAAGACTGTGGGTGAGAGCAAGAGTGTGGGTGATAGTAAGACTGTGGGTGAGAGCAAAAGTGTGGGTGACAGTAAGAGTGTGGGTGACAGTAAGAGTGTGGGTGAGAGCAAGACTGTGGGTGACAGTAAGAGTGTGAGTGACAGTAAGAGTGTGGGTGACAGTAAGAGTGTGGGTGAGAGCAAGACTGTGGGTGACAGTAAGACTCTGGGTGGCAGTAAGAGTGTGGGTGACAGTAAGAGTGTGGATGACAGTAAGAGTGTGGGTGACAGTAAGAGTGTGGGTGAGAGCAAGACTGTGGGTGACAGTTAGACTGTGGGTGACAGTAAGAGTGTGGGTGACAGTAAGAATGTGGGTGACAGTAAGAGTGTGGGTGACACAAGAGTGTGGGTGACAGTAAGAGTGTGGGTGACAGTAAGAGTGTGGGTGACAGTATGAGTGTGGGTGAGAGCAAGACTGTGGGTGACAGTAAGACTGGGTGACAGTAAGAGTGTGGGTGACAATAAGAGTGTGGGTGACAGTAAGAGTGTGGGTGACAGTAAGAGTGTGGGTGACACAAGAGTGTGGGTGAGAGCAAGACTGTGGGTGACAGTAAGAGTGTGGGTGACACAAGAGTGTGGGTGACAGTAAGAGTGTGAGTGACAGTAAGAATGTGGGTGAGAGTAAGAGTGTGGGTGACAGTAAGAGTGTGGGTGACAGTAAGAGTGTGGGTGACAGTAAGAGTGTGGGTGACATTAAGAGTGTGGGTGACAGTAAGAGTGTGGGTGACAGTAAGAGTGTGAGTGACAGTAAGAATGTGGGTGACAGTAAGAGTGTGGGTGACAGTAAGAGTGTGGGTGACAGTAAGAGTGTGGGTGACACAAGATTGTGGGTGACAGTAAGAGTGTGGGTGACACAAGAGTGTGGGTGACAGTAAGAGTGTGGGTGACAGTAAGAGTGTGGGTGACAGTAAGAGCGTGGGTGACAGTAAGAGTGTGGGTGACAGTAAGAGTGTTGGTGACAGTAAGAGTGTGGGTGACAGTAAGAGTGTGGGTGACAGTAAGAGTGTGGGTGACAGTAAGAGTGTGGGTGACAGTAAGAGTGTGGGTGACAATAAGAGTGTGGGTGACAGTAAGAGTGTGTGCGACAGTAAGATTGTGGGTGAGAGCAAGACTGTGGGTGAGAACAAGAGTGTGGGTGACAGTAAGAGTGTGGGTGACAGTAAGAGTGTGGGTGACAGTAAGAATGTGGGTGACAGTAAGAGTGTGGGTGACAGTAAGAGTGTGGGCGACAGTAAGAGTGTGGGTGAGAGCAAGACTGTGGGTGAGAACAAGAATGTGGGTGACAGTAAGAGTGTGGGTGACAGTAAGAGTGTGGGTGACAGTAAGAGTGTGGGTGACAGTAAGAGTGTGGTTGACAGTAAGAGCGTGGGTGACAGTAAGAGTGTGGGTGACAGTAAGAGTGTGGGTGACAGTAAGACTGTGGGTGACAGTAAGAGTGTGGGTGACAGTAAGAGTGTGGGTGACAGTAAGAGTGTGGGTGAGAGCAAGACTGTGGGTGAGAACAAGAGTGTGGGTGACAGTAAGAGTGTGGGTGACAGTAAGAGTGTGGGTGACAGTAAGAGTGTGGGTGATAGTAAGACTGTGGGTGAGAGCAAGACTGTGGGTGAGAGCAAGACTGTGGGTGAGAGCAAGACTGTGGGTGAGAGCAAGACTGTGGGTGAGAGCAAGACTGTGGGTGAGAGCAAGACTGTGGGTGAGAGCAAGACTGTGGGTGAGAGCAAGACTGTGGGTGAGAGCAAGTCTGTGGGTGATAGTAAGACTGTGGGTGAGAGCAAGACTGCGGGTGAGAGCAAGACTGTGGGTGAGAGCAAGACTGTGGGTGAGAGCAAGACTGTGGGTGAGAGCAAGACTGTGGGTGAGAGCAAGACTGCGGGTGAGAGCAAGACTGTGGGTGAGAGCAAGACTGTGGGTGAGAGCAAGACTGTGGGTGAGAGCAAGACTGTGGGTGAGAGCAAGACTGTGGGTGAGAGCAAGACTGTGGGTGAGAGCAAGACTGAGGTTTGGAGTGTATATAAGGAAATAAATTACACAAATTATATAGAAACAAATTTATTTTTTGTATCAATTACATTTGAGATTTGGAGGAAAATACTCAAGGTAACCCTTTCTATTACTTTTGTTCCTTCAAGGTAATTCCATCCGTGAAGAAGAAGACGAGAGCAGTAGGTACAGAGAATGGTCAGGTAAGCTGATAAAGGAAGAGACGTAAAAAAAAGTCGACCAGGTAAGCAATAAATCTGATGACAGTCACAGTAACAGACGGAAAAGCTTCCCTATCCACAAAAAAAATGAATAGGTAAAAAAAAAAAAAGAGCTTGAGTGTTCTACAGAACTACAATTGGGCTTTTGTTTCTTGTTTTAATTTTTACATAAGGGAATGGTAGTAAAGAATGTGATAGATTGATAGACTATTGAGTTGAGAAATATTAATACTTTAAGTGAGCCAGGGACAAAGTTATTATAATTTTCCGTAGATCTTATTTTCCATTAGATAAGCTGTTTTTTGTCAGCTTTTTGGTTTTCTGTAGAGATCCCATTTTCTTAAAATATTTTTTGTTTGCAAACTTCAGTAGCAGCCTGGTTGATCAGGCCCTGAGCCACCATGAGGCCTGGTCACAGACCGGGCCGCGGGGGGTTGATCCCCGAAAACCTCTCCAGATATACTCCAGGTATCTTCAACCCAAAACTCCGTTTTAGTGGTCAGTACATGACATTTGGGTGTGGTAACAGTGGGTATCTTGTGACACCTTAGAGTGGTAACAGTGCTCTTGGCACAGGCGAGAGAAAAAAGGAAAAATTAAATTCCTCTCGTCATAAAGACAAAAACTTTTAATATATATGTATAGTTCAAATATAAAAAGTCAAAAAAGGCGTAATCCTAAACGTTAATATGGAATGCCACTCAATAAAAGGGCTGAATAATATCCAATCAACAGGTTAAAGTCATTTAAATTTGACAAAAGTCCTAATTTCGAAGAGAACTAAGGCCTTTAGTTTATATATTGCACGGATATAGCAACGGCACATTATTTTGTTTCTAACCATATTTTTTTTAATATAGTTATAACAAGTAAAAGAAATATCTATATACATATCTACATTGCATCCTTAGTCTACATAAATTAACAGGTGGCAGGATCGGGCATTTTTGAGTGACAGTCATGCATCCGTAAGGTCAATTTTCTTATATAATTCAATAGGAAAATAAACTCTAAGGAAAACATAAACATCAAAATCATCTGATCATGTCACGTATTAATGTCTTCCTAGGAATGAGAGGAGAACCATTCATCATGTATCACGGTATAAGGATCCTCATGCTGTATGTGGAGACCCACGTCATTATCAACAGTATAAGGCAAAAGGGACTTCATGATCCCCTGATCAAATTCTCATTGTAAACAGATGTATTAATTCTTGATTCATAATCTGAGATGATTCGCCAGTGTATCATACTTTAGCCAATATTCAAGGCTATAATTCTGATATATTCGTTTTCTCAAGACAAAAATTGCCGGTGCAATCACCTTTTTCCTATACTGAACAGTTATTTCTTGGCTGTACCTATGTGTCACTGACATGTGATGTTAACTTACGCCAGAGAAGAGCAGGAAAGGTGTGGACGACGGTGTTAAGCCACACTGACAAAGAGGATGAGGTTCAGTAACATTCACATAACAGTATTTACTGGCTGGTATCAACTTGCTCCTCGACGTTGAAATATTCTGTGTCACGAGCTTAATTATTGGAAGTATCATTGATCGAAAAAGTAATTGCTATGCATCACCAAAGTATTTTCAGATGGAAATCTGAAATTCGTTTAATTAGGATATAAATATATATATATATATATATATATATATATATATATATATATATATATATATATATATATATATATATATATATATATATATGAATAAAGTTGCTCTGTTGGTATTTAAAATCCTTTAAATTTAATATAACATTACTTGCTTGGTCGCAACACAAGACTACAAGGACAAGAAATAATGACTCGTAAATATTGACTCAGTTTACTGATCCTCACTTCATATTTACGACTAGCAGCCATGTGCAATTGTACGTTCCAATGCTTGAAATACTGTAAATAGCTAAATCATCTGGGTTCATGATTGACAATGACAGTTAAAAAAAAAACGACGCACTTAAGCATGTACAAAAGAAGTGGGAGATCCAGTGGCCGAAAGTTAGTGTGTACTGTTTCTGGACACAAGTAGTGGAGTTAAACATGTAAGGTTGGAACACTAAGAGGATGCTTTATCGGCGCCGCTCGCAACTCTGACAAATGCCAGCTAATATAATCGCTCAACTTATTCCAAATCGTAAATACCATTTAGAGAATACTGTGGAGTCTGCACATAAGGATTCACCGACACACTTATCCAGTTAGAACGACTATTTTTCTTCAAAATCATAAATACAAAATAGGAGATTTGTTAAAGTCATCAGGTAGGAGCATTCACCTGATGCAGATTAATGGTCACAGCCGCGTCAGGGTAAGCTCTCTCAGGACCCGCCACCCACCACACCATAACAAAATATCACATGATCACAAAGGGAGATGGAGGAGAATAGGGAAATGAAGCAAGGGACAGGGAGGCGGTGGTGCTGGCGGTACCGCTGAGGAAGAAACCAAAAGAAAGGGTAGGAGAGATCGTTGTGAGAGATGGGGATGATTAAGGGTCGTTGAGAGGACTGTTAACGCCTGTGTTTCCCGTCCAAGGGTAGGTCTCCGGGCAGGGTTGACACGTCCTCATGTAGCGCACTCCTCCCTTGTGCCATACATTACATACTTTCTTGGTGGTGCACTTGGGGCGGTCCTGCGGGATATGAGGAAGTAATCAGTGGAAGCAAGAATGTGGTACGTAGCTCTATACATTATTATTAGGGAATATTTTTTGAAAGAGAATAAGGATGTAAGCAGCAAGAGGATATGTAAAGAAGCTTGAAAGATGAGGAGAGGGAAAATGTCAGCAGGGTTGTAATCACCAATACGCAATACCAGCTGGTCTTGACTGGAGAGGTATGGTGATACCGACATACAAAATTCCAGATATTTTTCTGAGAAAATATTTTCCCATAAATTGATTCTTCAGTCCTAAGATTGAGGAAGTTCAAAATAAAGTCAATTGGAGTTCGTGTCTTCTACTTTGTTGAATATATTCCTAGCGATGGCTGGGGCAGCCAGAAAATTACTGGGTTAATATTTACTTAAACTAGAATTAATATTAATTATTCACCAGTAGTTTAATCTCATGACGATTCTGCTTAACATTGTATTAAGTGCTAATTAACAAGAGACTATGTTAAATGACGTTTATCTGATGGACTGTTACAGCATGTGCTTAACTGCTTACATATGGTGTGAATCGCTCATGCTAACCCACTTACACAGGTCCACTCACCTGCTAAGTCTGTCCACCCAGCCTTGGAGTAAATCTCTAGCGACTGCAGTCTTTTTGGTTTGGTATAAGCAAGGAACTATGGGATAGTATCTGCCCGAAGGCGAATCATCGGTAAACCTGTCGTTGTACTTATGCCTCAGGAAACTCTGCTACCTCCTCCTTCTAGGACAGGTAGTTGCACACACAACTCTAATTGATGTGCTACATCCCAGTAATTCGCAAGAGTGTCACTTGCACATAATAGTATTGTTCGTCCTGGAGTGTTCCAGGAACTGACAATAGTGCAATGTGCCCCCATAGTAGGGTTCCGGTACATATTGCTCCTGAGATTAACACGTTTTCACAGCTTGGTTTATGAGAAAACACTGTCCAAGGCGTTTGAAACCTGGCCTAGCAATGCTTGTCCTGAGCACCCAGTGGGTCGACAATGTAAGTCAACGGAGAGGGAAGGTAAATAGGACACACATGACACTGGAATAGGAGACTGGAATCTAAGAGGAAGGGAAAATTAATCGAGCGAAATTAAAGAGGGATGCAAAGCATGAAGTTAGTGAGAAGGCACAGAGGAAAAGAGTGGAGGAGAAACCAGGAAACAGAGTGCAAACGAAGGAGGTGAGAGATAAACAAGATATAAAATATGGTAGAAAAGTAGGAGAAAGAAGGGCAGGCAGAACAAGAAACGATAGGTAGAGGGGAAAGAAAGTGGGAAGTGTGGAGAAAGAGAAAAAGGGAGGTTGTTAAGAGCAGCTAAGGATGAGGGAGAAAGATTTAAGCAGGAGAAGAAAGGAAGAGAGAATGGTAGAAAGGTCAAGGAACGGAAAGAAGTGGATAAGGAAAAGGTAAGTTAGGTAGGTAGGTAGAGGAAGCAAAGAATGGAGGACAAGACAAGAATAAAGGTAGTTACGAATACAAAAATATACTCCATAAGAAGGGAAGGAATGGGAGAGAGGGTAGAAGACAAGTAAGATAAAGGAGGGAAATAGGCAGTGAAAGTGAAGAATGGAGAGAAATCCGCTAATTCCAGCCATCACGTACCGAATAGTTACAGCTGAAGGGAGCAAAGTTCTTGATCCTGCTGAGTGGAGTTGGATCCCTCAACCACTGGATAAGCTGCCAGTTGGTGGTGAGCCAAACGTCATCCATAGCTGTGATGGTGTCCAGGAAGGCGATAAAACCTTCCTTGTGGTGAGGCGTGGTGAACCACGCTGCGTGGTAGAACAAACCAAACGGCGCTCTGTGTGAGGTCAAGTTAGGTTACTTTGTTTACTCTGACAACATGCAGTAAACTGCATAAAACTACACTGTATACAACTACGTTATATAAACTACACTGTGTAAAACTACGCTATATAAAACTACACTGTATACAACTACGCTATATAAAACTACAATGTGTAAAACTACGCTATATAAAACTACACTGTATACAACTACGTTATATAAACTACACTGTGTAAAACTACGTTATATAAAACTACACTGTGTAAAACTACGCTATATAAAACTACACTGTACAAAACTACACTGTATAAAGCTAAACTATAAACTACATGGTGTAAAACTGCATAATATAAAACTATATAGTATAAAACTACACTGTATGAAACAACAATGTATATTACTACACTGTATGAAGCTATATTAATTTCCTGCCACAGAATATTACCAAGCGGTATTACGTAGCAATGTATTACAAATGCAAGAAATAATGCAGTTTTTTTTAGCAAGGCGAATTTATCCGGAGACTGCAACATCCTGCCAGGGGTGAGGTACAGTGGTCATGTCTTTATTGAACGATACTTGGAGAATCAGCAGTGCATCAGTGCAAGTCCCTTCTTGATGCCTGGCAGGGCTCAGGAACCAAGTTTTAGATGCACGTCCCTTCCTTGGATCAAACTTTCTTATCTGCCATTTTCCAGGCTCCGTACGAACTCTATGGGCTTAGTGCCTCGAGGAAATAAAAAAAATATTGATCAAACTTCATTAAACCCATTTACCTCTCATTCCCCTAGAGATACATGACCCCTATGAGTTTAGTGCTTACACAAGAATGTAATAGTAATATTTGATAAGTGCATCATGGGGACATATGACAATTTTCTTTCCAAGTCATTTTCCATCACACAGGAAGTGATGCACAATAATGAAATCTGTGAACCGGTACTGGGAGATTTCAGGAGGACGATAAGCATATCTTTATGGGTTCCACACTGTAATGGTCATGAGAGACGGTAGTTGTTTGTGGGATAAGGATATAAGGAGGTTATGAGGAAGGATATAGGGTAAGAGTGGGGAGGGGAGAAAGTGTATTAGGGGTAGAGGAAAGGGGGTGTTGTTTGGTAAAACAGTGGGTGGTTATCGGGAACAGAATGGGTTCTGGGAGGGGACAGTGTCGTAGTGGGGAAGGAAGAGGGTTGCTGTGAAATAGGGAAGAGGGCAATTGTCGGGAAAGGATTGGGAGGTTGTGGAGATGGAACAGAGCGGTTGTATGGAAAGATATAGAGTGGATGAGGAGAAAGTGTGGTTGTAGGGAGTGTAAAGAAAAGTTGAGGGTTAGAGGTGAGGGTGATTGTGAGGAAGGAGAGAGGGTGAGCCGTAGGGAGGAAAATAGCTAGTTGTGGGAAGGAAGAGAGAGGGGTTATTAGGAGGAGAAAGGGTGGTGGTTGGGGAAGAAGGGAGATTAATTGTGAAGAGAAGATGGTGCTGTGGGGGAGAAGCCAGGTGGTTTGTGTGGAGGGGAAGAGGGTACTATTGAATGGAGGATAGGGCAGGTAAGATGTGGGGACACGAGGGGGTTCCTTTGAGAGAGGAGGGAGATAGGTTGGGGCAGGGGAGAGAAAGCGTTTGTTCGGAAAGGAAGAAGAATGGGTAAGGAAGTAATACTCCTCCCATACTTCCTGCTACTGCCGGTGTGCAGCTTCCTGACCATCCCACTACGTTTCCATCAGTCGTTGACTGTTATCAGGATGCAAGTTATTAGCAGTACAGTTTTGTTCAGTTTGTTGCTTGTCTGTCTCTCAGAATACTGCAAATACTCTAACATAAAAACGCACATGACGTGACTAAATTTTGGAAAAGGCTGAACCAGAGCAGAAAAAGAGGTTAATCGTCTCTTCATCTAAACGCCTTGATCGCACTCTTGTCCTTCACCGTCCTCCTGCTAAGCCTCGACTTGATAATTGTCTTCGGTAGAGCGAAGTGTCGTTCAGCTCTCACTTCCAGTTTCCTGATTCAGTGTGGTTTGTTTCACTTTCGATATTATAATTTTACATTCTTCTTTTGTTTCTTCCTTCTTGCTACTGCTTCATTCCATGCTGTTTTCTTCCTTCTTGTCTGTTGCTAATGTTTCCCCTACCTGTTGCAGCTATTGCCTTGTTAAACTTTCTTTCATCACTTCTACATCTCATCTCTTCCCTGCTTCTTACCTGTTGGTGGTGTAGTGTCTCTCGAAGTTCTTGATCAGCATCTTGTAGACTCCCTCAGCATCTGGGGGTGTGGTGCAGGCGTCACCCATCGAGCACCGACCTCCATTCAAGTCCTGCCACATGACCATGGGCACTTGCCACAATCCTGTAGGCAGAGGAAGGACAAGAGGCACGTAAGAAATGGTAGAGACTGGGAAACAGAGTAGAAATTAGGTGTAATTGAGAGAGAGAGAGAGAGGGAGGGAGGGAGAGAGAGGGCGATACGGATGCTTAAGTGATTTAAATAATGTGATTTAAGTCATAGCTATGGTTTAGATAATTCTGAAGCATCCTGAGAAGGCTTGAGACCTTAGATCCTCATCTGTATAAGTGGTATTATGATCAAGTGCCCCTAAGTGATCCAGCAATTACAAAGGCTATTGGGTGCTTAATTGATTCACACTAGTGATCCTAGCCAGTGTAACGTAAAAATTACTAGAAAATATAAAAAGAAAAATGAGCACAACCATAGATAATAAAATGAAAGCTACTCCATATAAATCTTAGTGACAAATAATATATCATCAGACGTAAGGCAAGGAAGAGACAAAGTATATTGCATATTCCCAGATTATACAAACAGTATTGATTCGTTACTAATAAATAGCTACAGTACTTGATAAATTGGAGAAGCAAGCTAAGGTAACAAGAAACATGTTAGCAGGGATAAGAGAATACCTGAACGATAGTAAACAGTCACGATAAGGGATGAAGCATCAAAAAGTTGAATAGAACTACCCACTCACCAGGATATGAATTTGTTGGACAAGGAGGGATCATGCAGTCGTGGAAGATCCTGTAGTCGAGAGTGTAGGGCCAGCTGGGTGGATTATTCTCGTAGACCGGCATAGAGGAATCGTATGTGAAGTTTTCCTGCCACAACATCCTGTACATCTTGTTACCACCCACCTGTCAACCCATATATCATGCTATTATTTATCTTCAGTATGAAAATGGTATACATTACAGACATGTTGATAAATAACACGCATGTTCAACAGTTAGATATGTTTAGTCGAATACAGAGGAGTTTTCAGTAGTAGTAGAGATGTGAAGACGATGTAATCAGTCATCATTATTTATCTTGACTGTGTACTCTGTTATATTCATGCAGGTTAATGTGGAAACGGTTATGCATACACTATGTAATAAGTTCATACATTTTACTAAGATTCTCGTTACAAATCATTATTTATACAACTATAATGAATTAGGAACATAAAGAGTACTGTAGCAGGCCTAGTGGCCCATATTAGACAGGTCCAACTCACACCCACCCATACCCATTCATGTTATTGTCTAACCTATTATTAAAGCTACAAGGAGTTTGTTCCACTCATCCTCACTCTTTTACCAAACTTCAGCTCATTGTTTCGAGTCCTATCTTGGTTAGATATTTTTAGTACGTTATTTACATCCCATTTATTTATTCCTGTTTTCCACTTATACACTCATTTATATCTTCCAGAGAGTGCAGATTTAATGCCCTCAGTCTATCCAAGTAAGAGAGATTTCTGATACATTAGATCAATTTTGTCATCCTCCTTCGTACGTTTTCCAATGCACTGATATCCATTCTATAATATGGTGGCCAGAACTGTGCAGCATATTCTACATGAACTCTAACCAACAATATATAGAGTTGAGTATCCTGAGGGTTCCTGTTATTTATATTTCTTGATATGAAACCACGAGATATATGGAACACCTTGATATCTTAATTTGAAGACGTTTCGGCAATCAGTTCAATGCAATTCGGTATTAATTCAAGACTACTCAAAAGGTGGTGATCACCGGCATCCAGGACGAGAGGCAGATTACCTCATCTTCTTCCGTCTCCAGTTCCATCAGCTTAAAATTATCTCTGCAGTGAACTGATAAAGCCACTACATGACGGAACGTCTTCAGATAAATAATTCATCATCTTGTCGGTATTATATTTCAATACTGCAGTGATATACGACTATGTTCAGTTTTACTGGGCACCTGATTTTTGAAGCATTGGTGGCCAAGTGGACTAAAGAGTCTCGGAATTTTGGAGGGTTTCTCGGAGGCGCGCTAAAATATCGGGGGTTTGATCCTCGGCTAGTTGCAGTACTATTTGCTTAAAACCACTCGTTTGTGGATGCATTAATATGTGTACTGCTCGTGAAGACTCATATTCCAAACGGGAGTATAATGAAATTAGTCCTGTAGCTTCCACGGCCACGAAAGTGCTCTCATCAAGGGCGACACGTCCTGTGGTACTGGACATGTTATCCTCAATGCGAAATTTCACCTCTGATGTTTGAAGCACTGAAGACCAAGTAGACTAAGGCATCTCGAAATTTTGGTGGGCTTCTCGGGAGGTGTGCTGTAAGCCTTCTCCCTGAAAGCTGGCTGCCTTGGATCAAAGTCCAGCGCAAGCTGGACTCCAAGGTATTGGTCCAGTGTGGGTAGATTGGTAAAGCACTGCGTACCTTGTTCCAAGGTTCGTAGGTTCGAGTCTCCTTCAGCCAGAGATCAGTGTTTGTATATTTCGCCTGCTCTTGCGAATTCCTTGCGTATGTATATATATATATATATATATATATATATATATATATATATATATATATATATATATATATATATATATATATATATAATATATATAGGTTTAAAAATGTAGTGTTAGAGTGTTCAGCAGAAGTTTGTGGTTACAGGAAAGTGGGTGCGGGAGGGAAGAGGAGCGATTGGTGGAATGATGATGTAAAGAGAGTAGTAAGGGAGAAAAAGTTAGCATATGAGAAGTTTTTACAAAGTAGAAGTGATGCAAGGAGGGAAGAGTATATGGAGAAAAAGAGAGAGGTTAAGAGAGTGGTGAAGCAATGTAAAAAGAGAGCAAATGAGAGAGTGGGTGAGATGTTATCAACAAATTTTGCTGAAAATAAGAAAAAGTTTTGGAGTGAAATTAACAAGTTAAGAAAACCTAGAGAACAAATGGATTTGTCAGTTAAAAATAGGAGAGGAGAGTTATTAAATGGAGAGTTAGAGGTATTGGGAAGATGGAGGGAATATTTTGAGGAATTGTTAAATGTTGATGAAGATAGGGAAGCTGTGATTTCGTGTATAGGGCAAGGAGGAATAACATCTTGTAGGAGTGAGGAAGAGCCAGTTGTGAGTGTAGGGGAAGTTCGTGAGGCAGTAGGTAAAATGAAAGGGGGTAAGGCAGCCTGGATTGATGGGATAAAGATAGAAATGTTAAAAGCAGGTAAGGATATAGTTTTGGAGTGGTTGGTGCAATTATTTAATAAATGTATGGAAAAGGGTAAGGTACCTAGGGATTGGCAGAGAGCATGCATAGTTCCTTTGTATAAAGGCAAAGGGGACAAAAGAGAGTGCAAAAATTATAGGGGGATAAGTCTGTTGAGTATACCTTGTAAAGTGTATGGTAGAGTTATTATTGAAAGAATTAAGAGTAAGACGGAGAATATGATAGCAGATGAACAAGGAGGCTTTAGGAAAGGTAGGGGGTGTGTGGACCAGGTGTTTACAGTGAAACATATAAGTGAACAGTATTTAGATAAGGCTAAAGAGGTCTTTGTGGCATTTATGGATTTGGAAAAGGCGTATGACAGGGTGGATAGGGGGGCAATGTGGCAGATGTTGCAGATGTATGGTGTAGGGGGTAGGTTACTGAAAGCAGTGAAGAGTTTTTACGAGGATAGTGAGGCTCATGTTAGAGAATGTAGGAAAGAGGGAAATTATTTCCCAGTAAAAGTAGGCCTCAGACAAGGATGTGTGATGTCACCGTGGTTGTTTAATATATTTATAGATGGGGCTGTAAGAGAAGTAAATGCGAGGGTCTTGGCAAGAGGCGTGGAGTTAAAAGATAAAGAATCACACATAAAGTGGGAGTTGTCACAGTTGCTCTTTGCTGATGACACTGTGGTCTTGGGAGATTCTGAAGAGAAGTTGCAGAGATTGGTGGATGAATTTGGTAGGGTGTGCAAAAGAAGATAATTAAAAGTGAATAAAGGAATGAGTAAGGTTATGAGGATAACAAAAAGATTAGGTGATGAAAGATTGGATATCAGATTGGAGGGAGAGAGTATGGAGGAGGTGAATGTATTCAGATATTTGGGAGTGGACGTGTCAGCGGATGGGTCTATGAAAGATGAGGTGAATCATAGAATTGATGAGGGGAAAAGGGTGAGTGGTGCACTTAGGAGTCTGTGGAGACAAAGAACTTTGTCCTTGGAGGCAAAGAGAGGAATGTATGAGAGTATAGTTTTACCAACGCTCTTATATGGGTGTGAAGCGTGGGTGATGAATGTTGCAGCGAGGAGAAGGCTGGAGGCAGTGGAGATGTCATGTCTGAGGGCAATGTGTGGTGTGAATATAATGCAGAGAATTCGTAGTTTGGAAGTTAGGAGGAGGTGCGGGATTACCAAAACTGTTGTCCAGAGGGCTGAGGAAGGGTTGTTGAGGCGGTTCGGACATGTAGAGAGAATGGAGCAAAACAGAGTGATTTCAAGAGTGTATCAGTCTGTAGTGGAAGGAAGGCGGAGTAGGGGTCGGCCTAGGAAAGGTTGGAGGGAGGGGGTAAAGGAGGTTTTGTGTACGAGGGGCTTGGACTTCCAGCAGGCATGCGTGAGCGTGTTTGATAGGAGTAAATGGAGACAAATGGTTTTTAATACTTGACGTGTTGTTGGAGTGTGAGCAAAGTAACATTTATAAAGGGGTTCAGGGAAACCGGCAGGCCGGACTTGAGTCCTGGAGATGGGAAGTACAGTGCCTGCACTCTGAAGGACGGGTGTTAATGTTGCAATTTAAAAACTGTAGTGTAAAGCACCCTTCTGGCAAGACAGTGATGGAGTGAATGATGGTGAAAGTTTTTCTTTTTTGGGCCACCCTGCCTTGGTGGGAATCGGCCAGTGTGATAATAAATAAAATATATATTATATATATATATATATATATATTATATATATATATATATATATATATATATATATTATATATATAATATATATATATATTATTATATATATATATATATTTATATATAATATATATATATATATATATATTATATAATATATATATATATATAATATTATATTCTTTTCCATGATAAAGGAATAATAACAGTAATTGTTTCAGGTCACCACTACCATTGTGTTGTCATATCTGACTTGAGGATTTTGTACTTATTCATCCACTTTGACTTGGATACCATAGAGGCAGCTACTCTATCATAGAGGCAGCTACTCTATCATAGAGGCAGCTACTCTATCATAGAGGCAGCTACTCTATCATAGAGGCAGCTACTCTATTATAAATATTGTGCTTGCAATTTTGTGACTAATTATAATCTTTGCTTGTAATTTCATTTTCACGTAGTTTATCAAAAACACGTCGTGGTTTACCATTACTCAAATATAGTTTTGTGTAATGGTTATATTAAACTTTTCCGTAGCTAGCCTTTGAATTGCATTTCTTTCACGTGTCCCCCTTTCTGGAAAATTAAATAATTTAAATTGTGATGAAGTTGTTTACTTGTAAGTGTGATGGAGAAGACAGGATCAATACATGCATAAACAAATTAGTTACAACTTGTTAAATTACCTCTGTACTTTGCCAACAGATCGTATACTGTTAATACTCTACCAAAATCATAAATCGATAAGATACGACATCTCTTCTTTGGATGAGGTTTATGACACTGCCCTTTTCGGGGATAAAATATGATGATTCCTTTGCGTTTACTGTTTCCTCGAACCAATAAGAGAAGCTAAAGAGCAGGAAAACACAAAACTGGAGGTACTCACGGCAAGGAAGGGAGCTCTCATGCCCCTCACGTCCTCCATCTTGACGCCGCCGTATGCTGACAGGATCTCCCGCTGGCCAGCGATCTCCTTCGCCCACTTCTTGGTAGAGAACTGTTCTCCAAAGCTATGTCTGAGGTGGGCAGGGAGGGAGAGTCCAGATGTGGAGGCGTGAGTGGGAGAGTTAAAGTGATGAGGGTGGATAACTTACTTGAGGGTGTGGTGATGTGAGAGTATGGTAGTGATGTATGGTGATGCGAGTGTGGTGATGCAGTAACGTGAGGGTAGGGTAGTTAAGGTGTGGTGATGTCTGGGTGGTGATGAGAACTGGTTACTATGACTTATACATCCTCTCAAACAGTATAACGTTAATTAGATTTCGAAAGTATTCATTCAGTTATTAATGAATTATATCTATCATGAAAACTGAATATTCCAACAATTACAAAAAAAAAAATCAGGGAATGAAATTTTCATTGTGGTGAGTCAATCATGAAAAAATAAATAATGATAGAAAAAGTGAGTGGCAAGGAAGCAATGTTTAATAATATACTTAATTGTAATTTAAGTAGTTATGATAAATCTTAAGAGATTCGTTTATATTTACATTGTACATATTGCACAAGAGGCGTACCATATACTATATATATATATATATATATATATATATATATATATATATATGCAAGACAAGCCACGGGGGGGGGGGTGTAAATCTTTAGCTAAAGTACTTTCACACTTCTCAGTGCATCATCAGGAGCTATGAAATGTTGCAAGGCATCAACTGAAGGATTGAGGAGATTTTTTTTACAGAGTAGCGCAGCGAGGGTTGACACCAGCCACAGTCTCTCTGTGAGGCAACTGCTTGCGTGCCACCTGTCCTACGACTCTCTCCGTCCTCCCCCAACATGAGGCATGAGACGGCCTCTGGCTTTTCTGCAGTCAAGGAATAGGAAATTAGAAAATACAATAGCCAGCCCAAAGCTTCTTCTAGAACAGGTTATGTGACTTGAGAAAATATGTTTCACAGTGGATAATATACATATGTATTCCCATTATTCTGTGTAACCCCTTAATTGAAAAAAGAGAAATTAATGTACTCTTTGTTTGTTTAAAAGCCATAGTCTGGGGTTCAGGAATGTTCCCCGGGGTACTCAGAAGTATCTCTTCTGGCTATGGTAGTTTCTAATTTCTTATTCCTTGACTGCCTGAAAGCCAGAGGCCATCTCCTGCCTCATGTTGGGGGAAGGACGAGGATGGTCGTAGGGCAGGTGGCACACACAGAAACTTTGGCTGGTGTCAGCCTGCACTGCGCTACTCTGTGAAAAATCATCTCCTCAATTCTTCAGTCGCTGCCTTGCAACACTGCATAGCTCCTGATGACGCAGTGAGAAGTGTGGAAAGCACTTGAGCTAAAGATTTCCACCTCCCGTGGCTTGTCTTGCATTGTTATATATATATATATATATATATATATATATATATATATATATATATATATATATATATATATATATATATATAATGTTAATTTACTAGCTAACAGGCATTGTACAACGTTAGAGACAGCGGGCTTTATCTCAAAAAAAAAAAAAAATAGCAAAACCATAAAGTTTAGAAGCTTCCTTAAGATTTCAAAACAAAGCCAAATAAAAACATGCCATTAAGGAGAGTAATTTGCATCACAGAGAGACAGACAGAGAGACTGATGCATCAGTGGTCCCGCTGGATGCTGCGGTGGACCTCAATATCCGGGTAACATGCAAGAAAACAGTGTGATGCATATTCCTCTCCCGTGAGACGAGGCCAGAGCTCGCTTGAGCACCGGTCTGGGGACTTACTGAATACTGTGAGACGCTATCTCGTGACCTTCAGCATATAGATTCTGAACCTGGGAATAATCGGTCCATTCATGAGAAACATACATAGTTGAGACGATTGGACAGCCGTTGGGATTTACGCGACCTTTCTCGAAGAGATCTTTATACAGCGGTCTATTCAGGTCATTCACTGAGTCATCAAACGTCAGCAGAACGATCTGGGGAGTCTCGGCTGGGAGGAAGCCGCCTGAGATGAGGGGAAGCATGAAGAGTATAGAGCAGGGGGTAGAATCAGGAAAAATAACATAGTTACCCATCCAAGCAGACCTTTTTTATATAAAAGAAAACGATAGTTTCAGAAATTAAAAGGAATATAACAGGAAAGGAGTTATATGGTAAACTTACATAAACATTAATACCAAGCATAGGTAATGGTTCTATATACAATGAGGAAAATAAAGGACGGACATGCAAGCATACATAGAAAATGAAGATATTATGTACAATATAATGAAGGAACAGACACACGAGGGTAGATGCATTAGATACTTTTATGTACAATAAGGAGAAACCGAGGTCAGTCATGCGAAAAGCCGCAGTCGGTAACCAATGTATGTACAAAAGTTCAAGTAACGTAGACGAAGAACATGCGGCCATGAAGCAAGCTTCAGTGCAATGTACAGCACAGATGGGTCACTGTTACCACTGGGTATGTAATACTTACGAGACGGAATGAGAAGCCATTTCATGGCCATCAGCGTACAAGTCTTGGACCTGGGAGTAGTCGGTCCACTCATGACTAACATACATAGTGGAGGTAATTGGACAGTTGTTGGGGTTTTTCCTGCCGACCTCAAAAAGGTCACGATAGAGACCATTGTTAAGGTCGTTGACCGCGTCGTCAAAGGTCAGAAGGACAATCTGAGGAACCTCCACGGGGTCGTAACCACCTGTGGCGGGGTGGTTAGGGCAGCTGCATTAGCATAACTGAAGTCAAGCCCAGGTCATGCCAGGGCTCGAATGTGTGTGTGTATTGTGTGTATGTGTGTGCTCACCTAATTGTGGTTACAGGGGTCGAGACTCAGCTCCTGGCCCCGTGTGAGTGCGTGTAAGTGTGTGTATGTTAGTTTTGTGTGTGTATTCACCTAATAACTGTGTGTGTGTGTGTGTGTGTGTGTGTGTGTGTGTGTGTGTGTGTGTGTGTGTGTGTGTGTGTGTGTGTGTGTGTGTTGTGCTGTACATGCTATTTCAGATGTCAAAACTGTATCTGTGCATCAGCACTAACTAAATCCTACTTATAAGCATCTAATTTAAAACTCTAATCTAACTTAAGAAAATATAAGATATATAACATTAATTAAAGTTTAGCAATGCTCAGAAAAGACCCCATAAAAGTGTGTACCAACAGCTAGTCCACAGGGGCGAATATGGTGGACTTCATATAGTCTTATGAAAGAGAAGAATGGAAATCCCAGGTTCCTGTATCTGAGATGACTGAAAACGCCAGGATCTTGTGGTAAGGATGACTGGAAACGCCAAGATCTTGTGGTAAGGATGGCTGGAAACGCCAGGATCTTGTGGTAAGGGTGACTGGAAACGCCAGGATCTTGTGGTAAGGATGGCTGGAAACGCCAGGATCTTGTGGTAAGGGTGACTGGAATCGCCAGGATCTTGTGGTAAGGATGACTGGAAACCCCAGGATCTTGTGGTAAGGATGACTGGAAACGCCAGGATCTTGTGGTAAGGATGACTGGAAACGCCAGGATCTTGTGGTAAGGATGGCTGGAAACGCCAGGATCTTGTGGTAAGGGTGACTGGAAACGCCAGGATCTTGTGGTAAGGATTACTGGAAACCCCAGGATCTTGTGGTAAGGGTGACTGGAAACGCCAGGATCTTGTGGTAAGGATGACTGGAAACGTCAGAATCTTGTGGTAAGGATGACTGGAAACGCCAGGATCTTGTGGTAAGGATGACTGTAAACGCCAGGATCTTGTGGTAAGGATGACTGGAAACGCCAGGATCTTGTGGTAAGGGTGACTGGAAACGGCAGGATCTTGTGGTAAGGATTACTGGAAACGCCAGGATCTTGTGGTAAGGGTGACTGGAAACGCCAGGATCTTGTGGTAAGGATGACTGGAAACGTCAGAATCTTGTGGTAAGGATGACTGGAAACGTCAGGATCTTGTGGTAAGGATGACTGGCAACGCCAGATACAAGTTCTATGTTATTCTAGATTGAAGGAGGAAGCAGCTTCGCCAAACTTGATAGTCACTGCTAAGGAGCAGCTTCGCCAAACTTGATAGTCACTGCTAAGGAGCAGGTTCGCGAAACTTGATAGTCACTGCTAAGGAGCAGGTTCGCCAAACTTGAGTCACTGCTAAGGAGCAGGTTCGCCAAACTTGATAGTCACTGCTAAGGAGCAGCTTCGCCAAACTTGATAGTCACTGCTAAGGAGCAGCTTCGCCAAACTTGATAGTCACTGCTAAGGAGCAGCTTCGCCAAACTTGACTAGCCATTGGTACACCTTTTATAGTATTGACTTTATTACTGAACTTTATTTTTTAAATTGAAATGAGCTAAAACTACTGTCCATTATATATAAGTTTATAAGATTATCTTACTGAGTATTGTTGTACACGAGTTATATTTATCTTTGTTTTTATGACATTATTATCTAATGTAAAATATACAGGAGAGACATGCAAGCTGCTATATGCTCACCAGTTTACATCTTCAAAGATGTGTTCAGGAAAGCGAGTGAAATATGTAAATATGGAATGCTTTCAATATGTCTAAGTCATAGTTTAAAAGACAGATGTTGAAGAAACGACACTGGTAAACATAGGGGTCATCACAGACACATAACACGAACAAACATACAAGAATGTAAACGGACAACACACATAATGACTTTTAGTGACGGGGCTCTAGTGATCTGCGACAGGAGTGATACAACATGTTATCTCTAGCTGATATTAGAAAAAAAGACACAGGCGTACAGGAAGCTTTTAGTGTGGCAGCTTTTCGATTTGAGTGGAACTTTTAAAAGACGTCACAGTAAAAGTTTGCTCTACACCCGTCTTTTTTTCAGTACTGTTGGTGGTACGCTTTTGAATATAACCTTTACTAAACTTTGCATAACAGTGAAAGAAAAAGGTAATTATAAAGCTATTTCAGGTGCAAAGGTGTCTGTAAAAGACACTAGAACGACTGTTTATTACAAGTGGTAGAGGAAATTATATGAGCCTAGAGTTACCAGTAGGTTTTTCTGTATTGATATTTGTTTTGACTTGCAAAAAATGTAGTTTTTTTTTTTCTTTTATTCTATGTCATCCATTTTAGGTACACAGGCTTCAAGATCACTTCAGTTTCATGATCACTCAATTTTCAAGATCAATAAAGCTTCAAGATATATTTGGGTTCAAGATCACCACCGTATCAAAATCACTCTATATTCAACATTTATCTTGATGAGTACGCCGAGAACTCAGTATGTACTATTTAGGCGCTCACAACACCAGCCACAGTCCTGGAGTTATCTTTGCCAGTTGTAAGCATAGAAACTAGAACTATCTAGATGTAATTTACAACACTAAACCCTTCGATGACCGTTAGGTATGCTGCAACATTGAGAATTATTTGGGGAAAAATTGTGGGGAATGGCGGCGGGGAGGAAGTGTCGATTACTTTATCAGGCAATCGCTCTATGCAACTAGACTCTCTAAGGCCGTGACTGGCATGTGTCTCACTGTGAGAAAATTCTTTGTGACAGTTCGTGTGCACTGTTTATTATTAATATAACTTTATAACTTATGTTAAGATACTTAGACATTTGAAAACAGTGTACATGTCGATTTAGAGAAGGAATAATATATATAAATAATACAAGGCATTTCTGAGTCTAACTTCTTTTCTTGTTGAATGAAGCTGTGATTGTTTCTTATCGTTGTTTATGCCACAATCCCGAACGTCACAATCCCGAAAGTCACAATCCCGAACGTCAAGATCACTGGCGAGGCCCCTGTCACAATGCTACTCACTAATACTAGCCTCGACTTGCTACATAAATATTTCCCCAACAGAGGTATAAGAGAGTACGAGTATAAACCTACATATCATGCATACTAATAGCCACATGCTTCCCTCTAACATAAATATACGTTTTCTTACAATATAATTTTCTGAAAATGAACGAATAGGTGATTAATTTAAACGCTGCTCAAGTAGGCTTTTGATGTTAATTACTAGTAACATTATTCACAATGTAACATATCAGTAATCATGGAACATATATAGAACATAGAATATAAATTATATAATTACAGAAGCAACTACTAGTATGAAATTCTCATTTAGCTGATTAGATTAATATATTTTATTACATAATTTTGATATGCCCAGGTGCAAACACACACACACACACACACACACACACACACACACACACACACACACACACACACACACACACACACACAGGACTCACCTGGGATGTCTCTGCCTCCACAATAGCAGTCAGGAAGGCGGCAAAGTTTAGGATCACACTTAGTAGCCTTGGTGTCAACAGGAGGAGTAGGACCCTGAGGGGCAGGCCTGGCGTGGAAGAGGCAGGAAAATAGAACGTTCACTGGAGGAAGATAGGACGAGAGACATAGTGGAACTAAAAGAAAGACGAATGAGAGCGGAGAAAGTGGAAATTAGGTAAAAAGCAGCTTAGGAAGTGGAAAGAAAATGGAAATCGGCTGAGGATGTAGACAGTAGTAAACAGATTAGAGAAATAACATATTTAAAAAGAGTGGAATGAAACTGACGTAAAACTGTCGAGATTGCAACATATAAGGATATTAAATTCAGAAAACTTGAACACAACATTGAAATATGTAAATAAAACGAATTGTAACTCGAAATAAAGCTGTTAATAAAAGTTACAAGAAAGAGAAAACATTGAATGAATGTTCCTTCAGAGGACTTGATGCTGGTGACGGGATCTTGTTCCGTGGAATTAGAAATACCTATCTCGTACTCGGATAAAACTAACTTACCTCCTATTGAAATCCCACATGCATTCATATATATATATATATATATATATATATATATATATATATATATATATATATATATATATATATATATATATATATATATATATATATATATATACGATGGACCTTCAAAGCATATGGGACTTTTCATCTATTAGGACTAATCATAAAATGAGTCTAAAAAGTACTTGGTTTCCATTAAGCAGGAGCTGCCGAATGTTTGTCTTTGAAATGTGAGTTTTTATAAGAATGTTGAAACACAATGTTTCCATACATTTGAATTAGAAGAATACGAAGCAGGATAAAATATTATCATTATTATTATTTTTATTAATAGCAGTATTATTATTAGTAGTAGTAGTATTATAATTGTATTATTATCATCAATATTAATACATATAAAAGAACGTATATTAGATATCAATATATCTACGGTGAAAGTTGGAAGCAGCTTGTAAAGAGACAAGTGTTGGAGTTTTCCTTGGATGGGATACAAGGGCGTAATAACCAGTCATGGGTATGAAGAAGCAAAAGACTAGTCTGTATATTATTTCTACATGCTTGTGTGTGATTGCCTAGCTATCAGTTGCTAGCTGAGTTTTTATTTCCGTTATTTATGGGACTGGATCAGTTGAGTATTTCTGTCTCTCCCTCCCTCTCTCTCTTATATACATACATACATACATACATACATACATACATACAAGCATAAGCCATAATGTGATGATAGGGACTAACTCTAGACCTTTCACATAGCATCCAGCGCCCCGTCAGTGAAAAAGATTCAGTGGATAAGGGATACTGTTTACCTGGAGAGAGTTCCGGGGGTCAACGCCCCCGCTGCCCGGTCTGTGACCAGGCCTCCTGGTGGATCAGAGCCTGATCAACCAGGCTGTTACTGCTGGCTGCACGCAAACCAACGTACGAGCCACAGCCCGGCTGGTCAGGAACCGACTTTAGGTGCTTGTCCAGTGCCAGCTTGAAGACTGCCAGGGGTCTGTTGGTAATCCCCCTTATGTATGCTGGGAGACAGTTGAACAGTCTCGGGCCCCTGACACTTATTGTATGGTCTCTTAACGTGCTAGTGACACCCCTGCTTTTCATTGGGGGGATGTTGCATCGTCTGCCAAGTCTTTTGCTTTCGTAGCGAGTGATTTTCGTGTGCAAATTCGGCACTATTCCCTCTAGGATTTTCCAGGTGTATATAATCATGTATCTGTCCCGTCTGCGTTCCAGGGAATACAAGTTCAGGAACCTCAAGCCCTCCCAGCAATTTAGGTGTTTTATCTCCGTTATGCGCGCCGTGAAGGTTCTCTGTACATTTTCTAGGTCAGCAATTTCACCTGCCTTGAAAGGTGCTGTTAGTGTGCAGCAATATTCCAGCCTAGATAAAACAAGTGACCTGAAGAGTGTCATCATAGGCTTGGCATTCCTAGTTTTGAAGGTTTTCATTATCCATCCTGTGGGCACGGCCATTGATTCCCTGTGTGAGTTGCCAGCTCCACTCTCCGTGTCCATCCTCCTCACCCCTGTTGGTGCGGGTGATGCATGTTATGACAATGGGAAACTCTTTCTCTCCACCTAAACTTAGTTTTTGCACCCCCTCCCCTCCATTAAGTTCACAGTTGGGTGAGAGAGGGATAACGAGCGTTCTTTTTAGGGTATTTTAGTGTACCAAGTAAACAGGAAGTCTACTAATATTTCAACATATATTCACTATTATTCCAACCATAAGTCAAGAGTCAGGACGCGTAGTTTTCTCACAATATTTCTGAGAGTTTTTGCGTATTTGTAGCTCAGAGTGTCTGGATGAAGAAATTGGTAAGATTTCTTATATTGTCATAAATGTATGTTATCCAAAGGATTTCAGTGACGTGTTACTATCAGCAAAAGAAAAAAAAACATTCTGACCATAGCTGTGACCTTTCAAATGTTGGACAAACCGGAAAACTGTTGAAGTTCAGAGTGTGACAACACCAGCATTCAGCCCAGTCCCTGGACTCAGTATGTACAAGATGGGTATGTGGTGCCTAATAAAAATATTAAATTAAACCAAGCTAAACACGCCAGGAGTTGAATGTTATTTTTCAACCAATGTTTGTGGATGTACCCATTTGCCAGACTGGTGTGAAGCGCGTGTAATTACCCCTAATAGTTCAACCACACAGACATAACCGAGTCTTCTATTTTAAAACATAACAGCCATGACTTGTATAATAGTAGCCAAGGGTTACTAAAATTAGATCCTTATTTAGTGAAGTCAATCATTCACTACCTTGTTGGTGTTGGTCACTTTAATTGCACATGTGACTGTAACTGTACCTGTTACTGTAGCTGCACGTGTACCACTGACTGTAACTGTACCTGTTACTGTAGCTGCACGTGTACCACTGACTGTAACTGTACCTGTTATTGTAGCTGCACGTGTACACTGACTAACTGTGGCTGTATCCGTGACATTAATGGAACCTGTACTTATGACTCAAATTGCCCCTGAAACTGTAACTAGCTACTACGTAGTGCATCAATGTATCTATTATTATATTACTACTATAATAATTATTATTATATTAAAGAGGAAGCAGAGTGACAATCAAGTTCAATCCAAGGAAGTTGAGGACATCTCCAGCAGTTCTTCGGCTCACAAGTCTGTCACCAGCATCAAGGAACTTCCCTTGATGGGACCAGTGTTTCTTATGCTTTACTGTCAGTTCTCCAATTGTATCATTCATTTAGACAAAGTACTATTGAATTATTGGATTTGTAATTGGGATACTGCAGTTGTATCTGCAGGTTTGTAGCTGTATTCATAGGACTGTAATTCTACTGAACCTGAAATCTGAAACTGTTGCAGCTAATTGTCAGTGGCTGCTTGTTGGTGCCGTCGTTGTCAGCTCGTTGGGTGTCCACTATGTACGGATTTGTCATGCTTTCTGGGTTTTATTACCCTGTTTCATCAAGGGGAGAGAGAGAGAGAGAGAGAGAGAGAGAGAGAGAGAGAGAGAGAGAGAGAGAGCAGATAGACAAAGAAAATAAGAAATAAAGACTGAAAGAAACACAAGAGAGCCGTCTTGGATTTAAGTGATGAAATATTTTGACATAACGATTAACCTGTAATAAGTGCTATTAATGGTATTTTTTATAAATAAAAGTCAATTATTTACACATCAGTACATGTCTCTACAGTGACAGGTATGTACACAACATTACATCTTACGCTAGATACAGTTGCAACAGCAGCAGCTAGTAAAGTAGGGAGTATATTGCTTTATTTTTAGAGCAAGAAAATAAATTCAAATAATTAGGTGCTGGCAATAGCATTTATCGTGTCACTGTTACAACAATCATTTTGACACTGTCGCTGACAACAACAATCTACTCGTCAATGGTGCTTACAACAGTAGTCATCATGTCACCGATGCTGGCAACAGCAGTCGTTTGATATTCTTGTTGATAACAGCATTTATCATATTGATCAGCAAGTCTGGTGAGCTGTCTTGGCACTAGTTAACTGTTCTGGTGAGCAGTTCTGGTTAGCTATTCAGGCTTTGGTTAGCTGTCCTGGTCAACGGTTCTAATATGTTGTTTTGGTCAGCCATTCCGATCTTCTCTTCTGGTCTGACGCTCTGATCACCTATTATAGTGGAAGTCAGCTTGACCTCTTTCTCATCACAACACGACTAAGCATTCGTAGTCATTGCTCAAAGCAGCGAACTACTTGCCTATGGTAAGTACTGAACCAAGAAACGAGCCTTCGTCTGTTTAAAGTGGAGAGCAGTCCTTATTGTGTGGTCCACAGTACCATGTAGACAAATATGTTGTAGAAAATCACTCCTAACAAAGATTAGTTTCCGGTATCACTGTGACAGGTCCCATGACGTGGGTCTCCTGAAGAGGTCATGTGTTGTGGTCCAGTAATAATAATCATGGAAAAGTGCTAAATTCGCAACGGTCAAAGTGCCTGGGAAATCGAAGGGAGTAAGGCTTGTACTGACGAAAGGAAGAGTAATGCCAATTATTTGGATCAAGAACCCTTCACCAACGACCTCCTTCCTCCTTAATTCCTTGACAAGTATTGGTATTTTGATACTAAGTCCCAGTTTTTGTTAATAGTGATTTTCTATAATAACCTTACGTGTTATTGTAATAGAAAGTGTTATCATACAGAGAAAATACAGGTGCAGAGCTAGCTATTATTGTGACAGCTTTTTATATTCACATAAGCAAAGGTTTTCAAAACAAAAGCCTGCAATTACTCAATGATCGTTTCTCTATTATTGTCGGCAATACACCTTTGTAGTCACGTTGCTTTATTGAAGAGACATGTTGAAGATGCAAGTTGGTTCATGTTGAGCAATTGACTAAATCTGGTTTAGTTTTCACCCTCATAGTCTTCATAGATTTTTTTTTTTGTGTGTATCTCTAAAAGATCCCAAATTCCTATGTACCACAGTGATGATTAATTTTATCAATAGTAATTAAGATGGCCAAGGTTTCACCACACATGAAAATGTAATTTTAAGATGTTAAGAGAGAAGAGCAAAACACAGAGTTTAGTGTTAAAGGAGAGACTTACCAGACAACATGTACATACCTGGTAACCTCACATATGTTCATACACAAAGTATTAGTTATAACAAACGTGTTGATATGTACAGCTGGACTGCGAGCCCATATAACATAACACTACCGGGTTAGAAGCTCATGACACTGCTGGGTTAGATGCTCATGACACTGCTGGGTTAGATGCTCATGACACTGCTGGGTTAGATGCTCATAACACTACCGGGTTAGAAGCTCATGACACTGCTGGGTTAGATGCTCATAACACTGCTGGGTTAGAAGCTCAAGTCATAACAAAATACTAGTGTTACAAGCCAATAAGACGGGCTTCATAAAGTCACGTTAGTCATCTTTCCCAGTAAGAAAAAATGGATAAGAAAAAGACACTACGTACAGAGCAAACTTTTCTATACAGTTGATGTATCTTTAAAAGACTTTATAAAACTTTAAAAGCGAAAACTCTTCTGCAAATAAAAGTTTGCTCTGCGCAGTGTGTTTTGTACCATTAGTATAAGTGTTGTCCTTCGCCATAATATTATACCAGCAAGCAGTGAGAGAGAGCACGTAGTTGAGGTTTCCACCTGAACAACCCAACAATGAGGATAGCTAGTGGATAAGGCTTCCACCTGAACTACCTAACAGTGGGAAAGTCCGTGGTCGAGGCTTCCACCTGAACAACCCAGGAACTATGTAAATATTACGTCGAGGGTGTCGTGCGAGTATGTTCTCAACAACTGATGTTTGTTATAGTAAATCCGTCGGACTTACAGTGTTGCCATGCACCCACCACTGTGTTACCATGCACCTATTATCGAGTGGCATGCACAAACCCCTCCTTACCCCTTCCCTGGTAGCCATGAGCCTAAGAGGAGTGCCAACCTGTCCACATGCGCAATATTCCTACTCATGTAAGGTCGTTGCCATGTCCTGGGAAGAATTCCGAAAGTTCACTGCGCATGGAAGGATGTTAGATACATTTTAACGAAATACTTCGGTAAATTGACAATGATATACATAGCGATTTCTGCTTATAAGCAACATCATCAAGCGAGAGGTGATGTATACTCGTCTTCCAAAATTAATTACGGCTGCAGTGCTAGTTTGAATTGTTTCAGATTTATCTGAAGAAAATTATTAATGTTTTGGTCGTCCGGTTTGTAGATGTAATTCATAGTTTAGTAACTATGTTACTAATAGCTCAGTAATACTCGCGCTAACAATTCAGTAGCTGTCACAACAAAAGTAACCATGAATCACTGACAGCTCGGTGACTTAATAACTGATAGCTCAGTAATTATGTATCACTGACAATTCAGTAACTATGCATCATTGATAGCTCTGTATCACTGACAGTTCAGTAACTATGTATCATTAACACTTCAGAACCTATATATCACTGATAGTTCGGTAACTACGTATAACTGACAGCTCAGTAACTTTGTATCACTGATATTTTAGTATCTATGAATCACTGATACATCAGCATGTATCCTTGAGAGCTCAGTAAGTGGCACTGATAATAGGTAATTAATTATCTGTCACTGGAAGTTCAGTAACTTTGTATCATTTATACTTCATTACCTATCATAGTTCAATAACTATCTATCATTCATAGTTCAGTAACTGTCACTATTAGGTCAGTAACTAGCAATGACAGCTCAGTTTCTATTTACTGCTTATATCTCAGGAACAGTCTATACTTACAGCTCAGTAACAATCACTGACAGTACAGTACTGTCATTGCTATCTCGGTAACTATCACTGATAACTCATTACCTCTCTTGGTGATAACTCTATCAGTTATAGCTCAGTAAAAATATATCACTGGTAGGAACTATCTGACACTGACAGCTAAGGTTGTCATCTGTTACTGAGAACTCAGTAACTACCACTGATAACACACAAGCTATTTATTACTGATATATCAATATGCATCACTGGTCAGTGACTACTGATCACCAATACCTCAGTAACTATAAATTACATTACTAGGCTACTCTCTGCATGCATAAAGACTTGGAGCGTCACGCAAGATGACCCTTGAAAAATGTTCGCTGCTACCAAGTACTTGAACATTATTTGCGTTTATCATTGGAGATTTATAATTCAAAACCTGTTCACAGCTATACAAGGGACACGATTTTTTTTCCTGGTTCCTGGATAATGCTGATTGACTGAACTGACAACGAGAGCTATTAATGGAGGATCGAACCTTCACTTCTTGTGCTGATTGACCATCATAGGTTTAGCATTACATATGGCATTAATTAGTAATTATTCACTAGACATAGTGGGAAAATATGTTTTAAGAATTTTGAATAAAACTTGTGGTTTTTTTTTATTATTGGTGTGTGAATGACTACCTTCCCATGCTATTAACACATCAAAACATGCAGGGATTACAATCTACAACGCTTTCTGCAGTAAGTCAGTTGGGGTCCTCAGTGAATGTAGTACTACGGGTGCTCTACAGACGGTGTGAAGTATTAATAAGAACCCAGTTATGGTGTATGAAGCGTGGACACAACCCTCAGTAATTGTGTATCAGAATACACCAAGATTCGTAGCCTAACATATTTCTTTTCCCGTCGCAGACGTGATGGCGTGTGACTAGTAACAATCTGGAGATCATTACTTGTGTGATAATTTCATTGAGTTAAACTGACGTGTCCTTGTATCACTTGTCAAGCATTAAGATGTAACTCACGCCTCTCAGAATGTGATGTGTATGTCTTGCTTTATAGCCAGAGTCGTTCAAACAAGTCGAACTGCAGTAAGGGTTCTCGAAAATTTTATGCATTGATAGGTATATATATTTTCATTGTGCACCAAAATTTGGCAACCTGACCTACTTTCGTATAACTGTCGTGATGTAATTACCTTATTCTTACCCAACTTCCATTATGTTAGCCTAGTATATTTAGTATTAAATACATTAATTCTTGATATTAAGATATTTACGAAGAGATATTGCATTAGTAAAAATACGTTCGGTTTGTGTTGTAAAACTATCGTTCCTTCATAAGCCAAGATTGAGAGCTCTGTCATAAAAGCAAGACATTTGTAAGGGAAAGTAGGTGCGATAACTATTAAAAAAAAGTGTAGGGGAGCATAGGAACGACTCGTTCTCGTTCATGAGGTGATGGTATTAGTCATGTTTTTACCTCCTCGGGGGGAATCTCCAGATATCTCGCGAGGGTGCTGACGGAGCGAGCACTGACACAGGCTTCAAGGTGATGCGGCTACTCCTGCAACCAAACGCCATGGGATACTCAGAAGAAGAAGACAACAAAACAGTTTTGGGGAAGTTAGATTGGTAGTGGCAGAGAGGGAGCGGAAAATGAAATAGTTGGCTTATAATTTTTATAGCGTCAAAGAATCAAACTGAGGAAAGCAATTTACATAATTTATACAGCACTGGAGGAGGGAAAGATAAATTCAGCTGAAAAGGAATATCAGATTGCTGAAAGAAAAAAGGTTGATGCGTTATTCTTTCAATTTACAAATGGGCAAAGCACAAGGGTTGTTTACAAAATTATTTGGGGAAACTTAAGAGTTTCTGAAAGCGCCAGTCACCTCAACAGAAAATATATATATATATATATATTCTTGAACAAATAGGTTTATTCATGACGAAAATACAGTTAATTTCTTTAAATCAAAGCAAATGCCCTAATTATACATTTTTATGAGGAGCAGCGACAATAAACAACATGCAATGTTAGTTACAGCTGTGGAGGATTTAAGATACATTTAATCTGACATACAGTTTAAGAACTGCCACACTTAATTAACAGGCAAACATTGACTGGGAATTAGTGAAACACAAAGGACATAAGCCTCACTCTGAGACAGTATTTTGGTTCTCTTGACTATCATGATGAACAACGCAACACTGTATGGTAAACTTTAAAGATGACATAACTATTCATCAGACTAATTGATGATGCAGTATATCTGCATAACTGAAGCCCACATATTGTTATATATATATATATATATATATATATATATATATATATATATATATATATATATATATATATATATATATATATATATATATATATATATATATATATATATATATATAATACCGTAAATTTATATTACAAGATGGTTATAACAGACCTCTTTGGCACAGATGAGTCGACGGCAGCAAGAGAGGGGGTGGAAGATTCTCTGGGAGGACTTCGGTTTGAGTTAGGCTGTCTCGTGTTGCTCCTGCTTAGAGCATCATAATCGTCAGAAATAATGACACCAGTGAGATACAGTACTTTACTTAATATTCTATATGAAATATGTTAGTTCACAAAGATTTTTGGCACATACATAAATGTGTTAGATAATCTGCATTTATATTTTATATATTCAGTAAGCCAGTTATTCATTATCAACGCTCAAATTACGTTTTATGTAAAAAACTCTTAAAAAGAAGAAATGAATAACATGTTAGTGTAAAAGATAAATTAATAAAATATTGGAAAATCTGATTTCAAACAATGTTAAATTGTTCATACAATATCAGAGTATTAAAGATTCACTCACGCACCATCTGCCTTCAGGTGCCGGTGGATAGTTGCTGGTTCTGTGTATTCCCAAAACCGTGAAAGACTTGATGGAAGGAAAGTGTGTGTTTCCAGTGGTCTGGCCAAGTCATGCTTATTGTCGTACAGTACAGTAGCAACAGCAGTTATGTGTCGCTACGTAAAAAAAAATCTGCCATTCACCTTTGATTTCTCCTTTACTTATTCTCAATTATGGATTGTTTTGTTCAAAAAATATTGAATTTTGGATAAAACAATGAAAATTGTTCGAGGGCATTCCCACATTAGATTTACGTTTCTATTCAATATTTCTTAAACAAATTCCTATTATATATAAACTGTATAGCATGCATCTTACTAGAAAAAAAAACAATAAAATATGATTATATCAGCCTTAGAAAGCAATATTTTTCGTAGCAAATAATTTTCAAGCTTCGTCAGATCTGCGTTTTGTCAATCATTAAAATAAACAAGAGGTGGGAATGCATGTTGTGTGAAGGTCGACTTAGCAGCTTAAGAACCAAGTCCATTTTGTCTCTGAAATGAATGATGAATATAAAATTAAGGGATGCAAGACAGTCACAGTCATGAGAGGTTGTCTTCGGTATGTGTATTTGTGATGACGAATGAAAAGGTGAATGACATGAGGATAAATGTCTCGAAGAAACAAAAGTCTTGCAACAGAAGTAGAAACAACTAAGATGGTATATATAGAGAGAGAAAGATTGAAAAAAGAAAATAAGGACAGGAAATTGAACAAGAAGATCTCGTTTATAAAATAAATTACTGAGAAATTTATATAAAAATTAATAATCAGCTTTATTAGCTTGAAATAGCAATACATAATGCAGGTGATGCTGTTTCTGTCACCGCAGCTTGTTCGTAAAAGCATTAACCCATTGCCGCTTGACAACGCCGAGAATTTTTCGCCATGCATTAGAAACTTGCAAAAAATACCATGCTGTAGAATCTCTGATGTTTGGACTATGTAGTCCAAGCGCATCAGGGAGTTAGTCAACTCATAACATACCTCGAAGGATTCTTGGATGACCTAGAGGAACCAGAATTGGTGGAAGAGGACTGAGAGGATAGGGATTTTAGGGTTGGTCTAGTGCTGGGGATTCGGGAAGAGGAAGAGGATGAGAATGATTCTTGTATGGGAGTGTCATCTGGGGTGTCGGAAAGAGTCTCTGGGAAGGCGGTGGGAATATTGGACAGGGCTCTCAGTGCCTGGGACGCTGACTGAGAGAACGAGCTTCCCTGTTCCTGACTGTGGACCGTCTTAGCATTCCCAATTGCTGGGATTCTCGCAAAGTGAGGTGGTGGGGCGCTCTGGGGCACATCAGAGGGCTGGGAGTGTGAAAAAACAGAGGACTGCGAAGGAGAGGATGAGAAGGAAAGTGAGGAGGGAGAGTGAGAGGCTGACCTCGAGTCAGACTCAACACGGGCATTATGGGATTGTTTATGTTGTCTGTTAGGTTGTGGTTGGTAGGTAGGAGTGACTTTGGTAGGACTGAGGGTGGGTGGCTGAGGATCGGGAATTCCGGAGAAGGAAAAGGACGAGACGGGGCGTGTAGAATCAAAGTCAAAGTCGGAAATTTCGAAGGCCTTGGTTATACCGTCCCTGTAAGAACAATACACCATCAGGACTCTACCGCCTACACACTCCATCTGGCTTGCATAAATGGCTTAGTCTGAGATTGTTTTAGTTTTCATACCCTATTCAATTACTTATATTCATATATAAAACAAAAGCGTGCAGTTCGCATGCTAAGTTCAGTTGATCTTAATTTATTATCGTATATGAACGTGCTTAAAAAAAACAGTAGTAATGGCAGGAAGATTAGAATTTTTGTATTTAGTGATTTACATGCTTGTTGTCGTGCATTAGTTATCAGAAGAGCGGAGCGCCGTGAGAAGAAAATAACTACCGTAATACGGTCCTTAATGGCAACGTTTGGCAGGTCAAACAACTCTCACACTTTCATTAACTTTTCACAGTGCTATATTTTAAAAAGAAACCAACACACTCTTGGATGTAAATTGTGGGAGTCACAACACGAAAGAATTATTAGACTTTGAAAACCCTTATTATGAGTCTGATTAAACCCAAGTCTATTATAATATGAATCAGTAGATGGATTTTATTCGACATTCAGTTGGTGAATGAGTGAGGTAACACCTGAGACTGAGAGGTGAAGATGAAATTCACATCCAAGACAGTGAGTTGACGCCGAGCAGTGAAAACAGAACCTGGAGTTTGAGAAGGGTGATGAAGGGGCAGGTTCTTGGTGCTCAAAGGCCGCGGAGGTCCTAGAGGAGGTGCTGGCTGCCCGAAGAGAGGAAGAGGGAGAGGAAGAAGAGGAGGAACGGAAGGAGGAAGCTTCTCCTCTGGAAGAATCTCCTCCTCTGACGAATGTCTTGGAGGAAGGCTCCACACGCATTCTAAAAAAAGGTTGAAAGATTCACTGTCGATTCGCCCCATAAATAAGTTATATTTCTCCGATTGCTACTTCGTGATTGGTTGGTAAGAGTCACTTCTTCAGTCCAGGGTGTGGAATGTCTACTTTGCTCTGATAGAACTAGTACAAGTCACTTGCTGCAATATTAGCATTTGGTTACAATGCCATCTTCGTACCCGATAAGAACCAGGTGCTTCACATGCATTTCCTGTTTATTAAGAGTAAATTTAATCTCAATGCTAATGTTAAAGCTATTTCTTTTCGCCTAAATTATTTACCACTCTGTAAGGTGACTAACAAGATGTTACCAAAACCTTTTGCTCTATCTTGGCTTTATCTAAGGCTGAACTACATATTTGGAAGGGAGATGATTCACATGGTGATGGGGAGGGAGGGAACATTCTTAAGCATATAAGGGAGGGAGTAGCCATTATTATGGGGATGGACGAGGAACTAATAGTTAAGGGAATAAGGGGAGGAAGTAGATATTTAGAGATGGAGTAGCCATATTTATGAGGGGTAGGAACTATTCTGAGAGGGAGGAAAGAGAGCTCTTAATTTTAAGGGGATAGAGGGAGGGTGTGGCCTCTCTTTGAGAATTTGGGAGATGACGTTATTAATCTTATGGAGGTAGAGGAGGGAGAGGCCATTCATAGAGCGATGGAGTGAGTTTCCCTGAGAGAAAATGGAGAGGAAGTGTCATCTTTCAAAGCGGTAAAAGGCAATGAAAAAGATCATAGCTAATAGCTTTGTCTTAGTAAACGTAAATACTTTCATGCATTTAAAATATTATATATAATATATTAAATATAATATATATATATATATATATATATATAATATATATATATATATATATATAAACTATCCAATCCACTCATAGCAGATCTATAAAAAACAAAATACAATGGAAGACGACCCTGATTGATAATTTAGTAGTTTCTGTAGTTCATGATGTGCCAGAAGCCAGTACTGTGAACACCAACCCATCATGAAGTTTGACACATAGTGAAAGGCTCTTGATCCAAGAAACTGAAGCTATCCCCCTTTTCCTTGGTTCACGCTTGATCATCTCCCATTCTCCAGGCGCTGCATGACCCATGGGGGATTAGCGCTTCCCCATGAAGCTTATATTAAGTGAGCACCGAGTAATGGTTGCCATGGCAACTATATATGTTAACATGCTTGTATGTCTAACCCAAGAAATAAGCTTTTATATATATATATACATAGTGATTTTTAACCTTACATATAGAGTTAATTATACTGGCAGTATTATATACAGTATATATACATAATGAGATATAATTTATCAGTATTATAGAAGAGGAACTTTTATTTACAGAGTATACTAGTTGCTGGAGACAGATGCAGAGCGATTATAAGGAGAGGGAAAGATGGAGGAAGACAATGATAATGATGGAGTGGGCCAGTGGATAAGGAAGAGACGAGAAAAGGAGGGAAAGTGGAAAGTGGTTGGAATAGAAAAGGGAAGAGGAAGTTAGGAGGGATGAAGGGAGGTGGAAGAAGCATCGAAAGGAAGGGAAAGAAGGGGAGATAGAGGAAGAAAATAGGAGGAAGGTGGAGGAGGTAGGAAGCAGAAGAATGAAGGAGGGAAGAAGAAAAGAATGGAGGGATAGTGGGAAGCAGGATGGATAAATGCCAATTTATGCAATGATAACTATTTCCCATTTGGAAAAAGATATTTAGAAAATAAAAATCAATCGCGAATTTCAGGAAGCGATTTATTAGAGAAGAGGGCCACAGAGAACGTTGTGGAAGAAGACCAAAGAGAATATTACAGATATGGACCACAGAGAACAATAGACAGAAGGCCCACAGAGCAAAAGCAACTATTGACATTATATTACAGAGAGAAACCATTGACGGAATCTCAGTAAATTTCCACAAGCAAAGGATTCTAGACTAAGAACCGAGCGTTCTAAAGGCGGGTTTCTAGAAGAAGTAGCAGTGCAAGACCCGGGAATGGTCCACTGATTAAAGGCAGCCGGAGGAGAGATCTCTCAGCTTGAAGGAAATGCTAAATATCTATGAAAATATTGCGCTGGTTATTGTAGTTATTTTGCAAGTTAATTTAAAGAATGCAATTTAAAAAAAATGGACATTTCCTTGGGAAGGTCCGTGCAGCTAAATCAGTTACTGGCCACTACTAAGCCATAAATTACAGCTTTTTTTTATTTATCTTCGTAACCAGCGCATACCTGACAGGAATGGGCCTCAGTTTTGGGGCATTCTTGGGAGCGGGAGTGGTGGTAGTGGTGGTGGTAGTAGTAGTAGTAGTGCGGGGACGGGGGGTAGTAGTCGTTGTGCTAGTGGTAGAGGTGGTGGTGGTGGTTGTGGTGGTGGAGGTGGTCGTGGTTGGTGGAGGTGGTGGAGGTCGAGTCACGAACTCCACTCCCCTGGTAGCAACTACTTCCTCCCTAAGTTAAAGTGCCCGTGTCGGAAATCAAGAGACAACTTTTAGATCTTCTGAAGCTCAGTGCAGGTAGAAACGAAGTCTATTTAAGTGCAAATACATTACAAGCAGTTTGGCTTAACAAAAAACTACAACAATAAGATAATTATTATAAGGTCAAGCTTTAAGACAAAGTAACTGGGTGTAAGGAAAGCATCTTATAACACTAAGAGGTTGTTGTGCCTGGCAGGTAGTGAAAACCGAGCAGGTTGTGAAGACGGAGCAGGTTGTGGCAGGTAGCAGTGCAGATATCAAAGGAATTTTTGCTCTTAAAGTCTAATAAGTAATTAAAAAGTAGGAGCTAGAGTGGAAGCCAAATTGTGGGAAAATATATTAGAAAACCACACTCGTTTACCCGTGATTTTGAGACCACTCATCCGAGGATTAAGTTTCATTGAAAAAAAAAATCAGGAAAAATCTTGGTGACCGACACAGTAGTAGAAAAGAGCGCAAAGCCCCAATGTATATCAATAAATATGCTGCACTAGGAAACACTGAAAAACAATGCTGACATCCACAACAAGAGGAATCATTACACAGAACGAAAGGTGCACATAGCATATAACTATTTACTAGTTTTCACTAGTCGCTGAACTTTCTTTGAAAAGAGAACTATGAAACAATGCTCCAAATGTCCAAAGGGTGATGGAAAGCGTAGTCTCTTTTTTTAAGGGACGCTTTCTCCTCGTCGACTGCTACTGGATCTCAACACACCTGCTACAGCACCTGCAGCCCAATCTCAAAGGCGTAGGGGAAGCCAAGTGGAAATAGTGAAGGTCAGATGGGAAAGAGAAACGGATAACAATAACTAATGCGTTGGTTATTATCTCTTAACCTGGCGCCGAACCCGTATTGTACGTATTTAGGTAATCACCAGCGAAGAACTTCGTAAGGTGTTATCAGAGAACCTTCTTATACTGGGAGCTTCGTGAAGATGGTATCAGTGAACCTTCAGACGTCGAGAACGTAAATAAACTCGTTTCAGATAACTTTCAGATGTCGGGAACTTTGCTAAGCTGATATCAGACAACCATTTCTGCTCTTCATACTGAATACTATTTATTTTCATTTGTTAACATTAGTCCCTCCACGCGTCTTGCTCGGTCTGACTGGGACTTAACTTGTATTCACTGGCATATGTTTGCTTTTTTGCTAATTGCCTTTGCATACATAACTACCACCTAACCGCATTTTATGTTGTTTAAGACAGTCATGAAAATGCTTGAAAAATGTCATAACATTTGAGGGAGAAGACATGATTATATTAATTTGTTCGCATTCTGCAATGAGAAGGAAATCGTATTAATTATTAGTGCTGGATTTAGAGAAGACCCGGAGGACCAGTGTTACCTTATAGGTGAGTGAGTTGCTGCAGGTCGGTGGACGGGCTGCTGGGTAGTGGGTGCTGTTTGGGTATTAGGGTCGTAGTAGTCTGCAGGGGGAGACGAAATATTTTACTTGTCCGGAAAAGAAATCCTGACATGAATCCTAGTAATATAACCCAGTGAATCTTTTTGACACTCACCTGTTGACTCTGATATGCTTACCAGTTCAACCCATTAAAATTAATTTAGACTACATTAATAGACAAGACAGTGATGGAGTGAATGATGAAAGTTAATCTTTTTCGGGCCACCCTGCATTGGTGGGAATTGGCCGATGTGTTAATAAAAAAATAATAATAGACATACATACATTGACAGGTAGACAGACAGGTAGACAGACACACACAGACAACAGTTACACGAGTGACAAAGGTAGACACCAATGGAAATCTATCGCAAATTGTATGTAGTTTAATTAGTAACAACATAACTATAATTTACTAGATGAAAATGAAGAATGTAAAGCATTACATTTACTGAAAAAGTAGTTTACCGTAGAGGTAGTGCGCAGTAGCACCTAGGAGGTCATTCACCGTAGAGGTAGTGCGCAGTAGCACCCAGGAGGTCATTCACCGTAGAGGTAGTGCGCAAGAATAAGGATAGAAATACCTTAATATAAGGAGACTGTACAGCGGTAACAGAGGAAAAACTGGCCATAGAGGAACTGTGAATAGTATTAGAGTAACTTACTGAAAGGGATCTACGCAATATCAGTAGAGAAGTAACATTCTACAGACGACTGCGCCATAACACTAGAAGTGAATCACCAGAGGTGAACTGCACACTAGCAGCACAAGAAATGACTTACCGTATAGGAGGTCATCGTAGTAATACAAGAAGTCGTTATCAGTGAAGTTGAGATCGGTGTAGTTGTTGTCGTTGACCAGAGGAGGTGAGTGTGGGGAGGCTGGCTGGGTAGGCCTAAGAGCCGTCAGTGACCTCACGGTGGTTGGCCTGTAAGCATGCTCGTTTTAGCACTGACTTGTATAACTATTCCACAGGCTGAAAGACACTTGGTGCAACTAAGCCTTTATTATAGACGAATTTTCACTCTGGGTAGAGTACCATGAAGCCATTACCGATTCTATAAGAGTGCAGGAACATTGCGCCAGGCTCACTGGCCCAGACTAAGCAAATCTTGAAATGGAACCCAAAGCTACCCAAGAATTTACTCCCGTACCCACGACACCAATAAGACCCTGGCCCCTTAGCATCAAGTGTCTTTCTTTCATGCTTAATGACAATTCCTGCTGTCCTTCAACCATTCAATTCCTTGAAAATCCGAAAAAGCTGATTTAATCAGATAATGACTTAGGTGTTGACACTAATTTCACTTGTCTCTGACTTCTGATTATAACATCCTATTCCTTTTGTTATACTGTAATCACCTTGAGCAGGAATCACTGACGTGTGGTCATTTATGCTTACATCCTGACTCATCTATTTCTCTGGAGTTTTTTGGACTCTAATAAAATTCTAATCTGGCATGCAATTTCGCCTGAAAATTATGACACTGAATTCACAGTGTACACCGCTGATTGTACAACGTACAGTTTTCAGTGCATAACGTAAAATCTTGAATGTACACTTTACAATTTTGATGTATACTGTTGAAACAGTAGGCAGTGTTGAAATGCCAAGTTCATAAAATTTGACGAGTTAATTAATTATGTTACTTCTAACTCCTAAGACATTGTAGTCTTGTTGTCCAATACACTGAACTAATTTAGCATAAATATGCTAAAAAAAATTTAGCTTATGATTGGAGGGACGTGACTACAAAAATTTAGTACAAGTTCGGCAGCGGTCTACTCAGACATCTCTAGCTACACTCTAGCTCTTTAGTTGTAGTGGACCATCTCTGGCTATACTCTGGTTCTAGTGGTCTACTCGACGTCTCTGGCTACTCAGTGAGTCAGTAAAGGCTGGTGATGAATAAGTACAGGTTGATAAGTGATGATTGTATTTCTCCACCTGTCATGCCTTGTATAACAACACTGCTCAAGTCATCTTTAGTCCATCCAACCTCATTTTATCACAGTACATATTTAAAAAGATTTTACTATCGAATTTAAATGTATAAATGAATAAAGTCAGTCAGTCGATAAAGAGTTTTGTTGCGTTTATTTGTATCACCGTTTAGTTCTGCCCTCGACCTGTGTACATGAGAGAGACAGTATTCTGAAGAAATGTCTTATAAAGAAAATATTTATTTTTAAAGTTCAGTTAAGGGAATATAGATGAATAAAAGTATAATAAAGAGAAATCACATTTATAAATACAATAAAGCGAATATAGATTCATTTCGTCAACTACTTTAACACACGAAGCTTAAGATGTGTATTGCAACAGTGAAGGTGAGTTTTTTATAGTATGGGCAGATCTAAACGGTGTCCATGAGAGGCGATTGTGAGCAGTGCTGCGGGATACCTGAGTGGCTGCCGGCTGTCCTGGGTGTTGGGGTGAAGACTTGGGAAGGACTGGGCTGAGTCTGAGGTCTTGGGGTTACTCACAGGCAGTTTAGAGAGCTCGGGGTGATGTACTGTCCCGGGCACTTGAGGAGGGAGTGCTACAGAGTTAAACTTATTAGAGACTTTCGGGCTTTGGTTAGCATATGCTGTATTTCTGACTTTAGAAAATGGAGGGAATGTTGACGAGTGATGCCTCAGAGGCCTTGCAGTGGTGGATGGTCTAACAGGAGCATTGGGACGACGGATCCTTGTGGGTTGTTCATCTGTAATTTCGATGGAATTCGACACAGGACGTGTGTCTGATAGGGTGGGTCTAGAAACCGGTGACGAAGGGGTAGAAGATACCGGTGTGCGACGGAAATGAGGTCTTGACGAGCTGACAATAGGTTTCCGAGAGGTCAAATGAGGTTTTGGTGAGGTTACATGGGGCTTTGGAGAGGTGATACTGGGCCTTCGCGATATGACAGGGGTTTTGTAGACACAGTTCTGGGAACTGGTGACGTGGGGAAAGGTCGTGGTGCATTGGATGTGTATGTGACACCTAAAGTTGTTCGTACGAAGTCTTTTGTCGCGACGTCGGGAGGAATAACCTGAGGCTTTCGAGAGAAAGGGGGAGGTGGTGGAAACTGAAGAGATGATGTGGAAAAGAGAGGCTCAATTTGTGGCTCAAAATATGGCTCTTCTGTTGACTTAGGGGATTCTACATTCTCTGAGGGAAATTGTGGTAGATGAGAAGAGCTATCGGATGAATCTTCAGAAGGAACCCGAACTACTGCTTCTTCAGGTATGAAAGGCTCGGAGTCTGGCCCTGGTATAAAAACGTTCTCCACATAACTCTCCGGGAAAGAATCTGACAAGGATTTAAGCGGCAATAACTCTGGTTGGAAATGTGTCGGCATGTGATCCAAGGGAGTTCTAAGGGGTCTATGAAAGAATGGGCCAATTTGGGGTCTCGGTCGCTGATTGTGGGGTCTGATTCGTTGTTGGAAGGAAGGCTCTCGCGGCTGTTCACGAGCAGGTGATGAGAAAGGCTGCGTGTCGAAAACAGCGCTAAAGGGATTAAAACTCTGGAAATTCCCAAAGGCACTGGCAGGGGATGATTTTCTCGGTGGTGAACGGAACTGTTGACCAAACCGGTTGGTGGGAAATCTAGGAAAAAATCCCTGTTGGAAAAAGCTGGTTTGTGGGGCCAACTGCCTGCGAGTAAACCCTTGGTCAGGTCTGAAAGGATTAGGAAAGATGGAATGGATGGTCCTGGAGAAGGGATCTGCTGCTGTTGTTTCTGCTGCAAAAGTTCTTTGCTCTTGGTTTGGGCTTGTGTTGTGGGTGGGGTGTTGTGGTCCCAGACCAAACCTGGCAGTGGCTGCAGTGAGGAAGGTCGCCTCAAGGGAGGTGTGTCCTGAGTCAGAGTCTGAGGCGTCGAGAGGAGTCAGGTCTCGCTGGTGGGACAGTGCTGGTGGTGCCTCACGCACCCGTCTGGTTTTCTTCTGGGGAGACTGCGTCTGCTGCCACCTTCACACAAACACCCGCGTCAGGTTACCAAGCACAGTGCCTCGGCCCCCGGCTGCTAATTACTATTACTAATGACATTGTATCTTAAGTATTTTAAAACGTCTTGGATCACCGTCGAAGGTGTTACAGGCTTAACAGACTGAATGAACAACATCATGACGACATCCAGGCATCTTAAAGCATGTAACATCTTTAGGTAATCCTGAAAGTTAACTAAAATTGACACTACAGCTTCAGTTATAGCAAGTATCTAACTGGCTCACACAAGCATGAAAGGAATATTAAAATTTTCAGAATAACTTTAACATAAAATAATTCTACTGAAATATGGACATGTAAGGTCATGAGACTGTTGCTGCGTAAGGAGATGAAGTTGGCGAAGTTATCCAGCTGACAGAGATACAGTAGAATGTCTCCTGTGTATCAAGTCTGCACTAATCTGTTTATATCCTTTAAACCTGGAGCTAAGGTACGTGTGTGTGTGTGTGTCTGTATGTGTGTGTGTCTGTGTGTGTGTGTGTCTGTGTGTATGTCGTGTGTGTGTCTGTGTGTGGTGTGTGTGTGTGTGTCTGTGTGTGTGTCTGTGTGTGTGTGTCTGTGTGTATGTGTGTGTGTGTCTGTGTGTATGTGCGTGTGTGTCTGTGTGTGTGTCTGTGTGTGTCTGTGTGTATGTGTCTGTGTGTATGTGTCTGTGTGTATGTGTTGCTGTGTGTTTTGTGTCGTGTGTGTCGTGTGGTGTGTCTGTGTGTGTGTGTGTGTCTGTGTGTGTGTGTCTGTGCCTCTGTGTCTGCGTGTCTTTATACCTGGGCCGAGGACTGGCATTGTCTCTTAATATAAACATTAGCAAGGGATCACAATACATATGTAGTCAATATTAGGTCGATGAAAAAGGAATATTTTATTTTTTA